TTGACACCTGATCATCATGAAATTGACTAGAGAGTTCTCTTAACACCAACATTTACTCCAGTGTTTATTTATTACAGTACTTAGCAAAAAGCTTTATAATGATTGAGTCCCCTCAGTTTTGTCACCTGAGTTGTGACAATCCATTTTAAGAAACAAATCTGTTTTTCTCAAGGTTTCTAAATTCTTATCAATATATTGTTCCAAAATTGTAATATGTACAGTATATAGAAAAATTTACTTCAGTCAGTGATTCTTCTACATGTACATCGTGGCAAACAGTTTGGAAGCACTTCTTGAGACAAGACTGACGAGTTAAATTTAACTAGTACTGTACTGTACATGTGTGTTCTTCAAATTAGGTGTTGCCTAAACTGTATAAGTATTGTACATACATCTACACTGTATATGTAGATATAGTTAAGGCAGAATTGTTATACACTTTCTTGCTGTTTTGTTTAAAAACAAGACAGTATAATTATGTAAAATGGTAAGGTTTATGGGGGACCTGTTGTGAAATAGCCCTTTAAGGAAAATAGTGTGGTGAATACTAAAAGTAAGTAGTTAAAAGTTTGCGGTCTGTAATATGTCAAGTTGTTGCATTATGAGACCAATGATTTACTATGTATATATGTACATACGCTGAACCATGAATATTGATGTATTGCATGATTTTATTTTATTAGTAGAATTTTAGCTGAACACTAATGCAAATGCTACAATCTGATTGGCTGGGTGATCACAAACTATCAGTCATTAGTGTGCGGTGGCTGGAGGTCATCTGCAAAAGGTGACATTTTTGTTGTTTTTCCAAAGTTTTGATGGTCAGGAACACTTTCATGCAAGATGATAATTAAATTCCCGAGAAGACTAAAAGAAGAACGGTGTCTTGACTATTTAAGAAAACTTGAAGTTATTGAAAAAATGATGCGTGCACGCACACAACTTCAATTTCAAATGACAAATCAATCTGAGTTATCTTTCTAAGGCATGAAGTTTTATAATACAGTGAGAAGTAATTGGAAGTTACCGTTATTTGAAGTAAATATCAGTTAGAATTCTACTAACAAAAGCAATTAGATTATTCACTCTTGATTTCTATGAGGTGATAGTTGATTCGGCCTTTGGCCTCATAGAAATCTCGAGCTCTTAATCTAATTGGTACACCCTTTAGATCATTTGTCTCACAATACAGTCACTTGAAATGTGGATTGCAATGTTTTGACTGTTAAATGCTATTCTTCCTAATTCACTGTACACTGTTCATATAACTTTGTACATGCTTTGAAATTCTCTCATTTTGTTATTATAAATAAATTCTACATGTAAATTGTACTGTACTTATTTGACAATTATTTTTTCATAAAGTTTCTTGCATTTTCATTGTTACAGGCCAAACAGCACTATTCATTTGGATTTTGAAGAGTTTGCAACTGAATGTAACTGGGATAATTTGTACATCTACGATGGGAAGTCTGTAGAAAGCCCCTTGATAGCAGTAATAAGGTACATGCTAGTCTGGTTTGTGTTATATGTGTTGCATTCTACTGTATGTTGTAACATTTGCAAATGTGCTATTGTCACCACCCCTTCCTTTAATATTGGCCTTCC